CCAAATCAATTTTTCACAAACTAATTCATCTTTCCTCTAAATTGAATTGTATTGTGGAAAATGTTGTTCTTAGTATAGCGTTTTGTATGTATATCACAAAAAGTTGACCTTATTTTAATTTTTGCAGTGCGTATGCTGTATCAAGTCATATCCTTGTGCTTTTCGGGACGGTAAGTTTTTAATTATTCATTTAATTTATTAAGTAAGAAAAGGTTTGAGACGTAAGGAGGGAGGAGTGTAAAGACGTCAGAAACAGCTGCGTAGTATTTAAAATTAAATTGTATCGTATCTACCTTTAAAATTAATATGAAAAATGTTAAAGATTTGATCGGTTTTTCCCATCTCAACATACCAATTGAAAACATAAGAGTAAAAAAAAATCAACAATCAACAGTTCGCACTAAAATAAAAACCATCTGCAATAGTGTTTTCTCGTGGTCTTATCATGTACATTATCACAATGTTATTTGTTCATTTAGTTACACTCCAGTAAATAGATAAAAATTTGTCAGTTTCGTTAGTTTTTCACCCTTTATGTTAATAAACCAATCGAAAACTCCCAAGTAGGAAATAGGAACAAACGCTTAACCAATTATACGGGATGACCAAGCAGGAACCGCCCTGCTTCACCTTGAGGAGAAACGAGGAAAACACCGACGAAAAGTAGCAAACACCGGATAAACAAAGTCGAAGGGGACTTTGCCCAGGGCAAATAGGTTTATTACGTTGAGATAACGAAGGCCGATAAGAACCACTCGAATTGTTGATATCGTAATAGAGATAATTAACGAGTATTTTGACGGGAAAATACATCTGGGTTATTAGAAAACAAACGTAATGAGCTTTTAATCTAATTAGTTGCGCTTAAGCATTTAGATCTGACGATAAAATTCCTTACAATTTTGCTTAAAAAATACTAGTGAACTTATTACGCTTACTTATGATGAGGAATGAAGTGTTTTCGGTTTTGAATTACCGGAGGGTCGGAAAATAGGGGTGGATCCTACAGCCAGGTATAAGTGCTGTCCCTTAGGGGTAACTTTTAGGCCTGAACCCGTTTTCAGAATGTTTGAACGGTTAGTTGTTTCTTCTGTATGTCAAATTATTTGACACTTGAAAGTAAAATACTTCAGCATACTTCAGCTTTCCTACTTGATAATTATAGACTGTTAAAAGCAACGTTATAAAAATAAATTAAATTAACATAAAACTGCTATTAGTGTGTAGGTTTTATAGCAGTTGGTTTAAATATTTACCTGAACCCGTGGACTAACAATAGGATTTTAAAAAAAGAAAACTACAAATAAATTGTTTTATACGATATACTGCTGTGAAGAATGCTTTAAGTAAACCTTGAAATTTCCATTTAAAAAAAAAAAAGACGATAAACAAGTGTTTGAACACGAAAGCCAGATAATAACTACTTAAATTAATAAAGGCCGAACTGCCAAAACAGAAAATGCAACACGAAATAACACATTAAAGCAAACAAATGATATTTAAACAAAAAATTTATTTTTTATCTCTATCCTATCTATTTGTACTCTTCTCAACCGAAAAAAAGGAAAAACAAGCGTGGGACCAATTTTATGAAACTTTTTCTTGTTATAGTACACCAAAAATAACAGACACGTGTCCGAGCGTTCCTAATCAGTGCGTTCCAGGAGCCAAGAAAAAAATTAAAGCAATTACTTTAATTATAATGCAAAATATGGTAGAGTTGAAAAATTAGTATCACGAGCAGGACTCGAACCCACGACCGCAGTATCAGTACCCCGTTTTCAACTCAATCAACTTTGCTTAATAGTAATTACTGTGGTTAATAGGACCAACTAAAAACAATTTTTTTAAGAAATTTAAATTACATTTATGTTTTTCTGCCTTTGTTGTGCATATATTTCAATATTTTTGTATATCAGCTGAATTGGTTTTTACGCTTGCAGTAAAGTACATTGGAAAACCTTTTTTATACAGACAATTTGGATTCGTTTTAAGATACATTTACAGCCCTTAAATAGAAATTTTCTTAGCAGACTACAATAAATTTTTTAGGATGGACCAAAATGTTTTTTATGGCGCGGGAATTATTGTTATAGGTATCGTAGATAAAAACATAACTTGACAATAATCAAAAAGGAAAATATGTTAAAACAATTTTTTACCAAGAAACGAAGTTTATATTCTGTCCCCACCCGGAAAAACCCGGAAGACAAATTTGGTTAAAAAAATTTATATTAAAATTTTCGCCTTCCACTGAAGAATTTTTATAAATCACAAAAATAATTGTAACTTTGAAACGGTTCCACCGATCCGCGTGAGTCTTTAAATGAGTTTAGGATCATATAAACTACACTTTTATGAATGAAACATAGCAGCCTCCGTGAATAAATTAGATCCGGATATAAAAAAATAAAAAATAAAACAGTTGAAGTGTTTTTATTGATTTCAATCTTATTTTTCTCAGTTATAAAGACATAATAACTAACATTATTGATGAAGCATGAAAGAAGAAACATTCACCAAACCAAGGGTTGTATAATGTTGACTTTGGATAAGACCCTTAGGAATTATGCATTTCTAAGCCCGGAACCCTGAATATGTGGTTAAGACACCCCTAGCGAATAAAAAAAATAAAAAAAACTGAAAATTCGTATTTAAGGGCTTTAAAGGGTGCTCAAAACGAATCTAAATTATTTGTTATTGATTTTCTGGAGTATTTTACTGAAATTCGAAATGAAATTAAAATGGTCCTAATTTTTTATACAATAATCAATTTCATTTTATACGATTCTGCTAGGATCTTTTTTTTTCTTTTTTTTTTAAATCGACTCATACAATAACCTTGAAATACATATACAAAGGCAGAAAACTTATGTTCTCGTCTCCTAACTACCACTGCCAACTGAAAAGTACATTTTGTCAACTATTATTCGATCTAGTATTCTAGTATTACCCAGAAAAGTGCTCCGTAGTCTCCCTTTGTGAGCAGGTAGACCAACCCAGCTAGGAAGAACAAAATAATCAATAACAACCAAATTACAAATTGTTAATTATTTCTGAGGCTCTCTGTTAAAAAATTTGCGTGAATTTTCTTCTTTCCTACGAAATTTACAAATACATATTTTGTTTTCTTACAAATATTAGTGTTTCGTATTAAAATAATCCGAGATAAGGCGAAGTTGAAAGAAAAGAAAATTAGTCAGTTCCTTGGACAAGCTTTCGAGAAATAAATCGTTTTCATCATAACTGTCAAACCATTATTAATTATTCTCAAGGTTAACAAACATAAACACTGAACATCTATGTTTAAAAATCGTACTTTTCCAAAACCATAAGTTTCAGTTCTGTAAATAGATGTACCTTAACTTTGTGAATTATTTAATAAAAAAATTTAAATCCCTGATGAAGTACTCGAAATCCTGACGAGGAACTGGGGTTTTTTCGTATTAAGCAGAAACAAGACGGGCAGAAAAGCCCAGATTAAAATGACCAGTAACGACCAAATTACAAATTGATAATTATAATAAATTCGGACTCAATTTGAGACCCCTCCCCCGTTAAAATTTGTGTGAATTTTCGTCTTCCAAAATTTACAAATCTGTGAAGACAAAATTTTAATTTTTCTTATTTATAGAATTTCTTGAAGTGGTTAAAAAATTTCAATTTACTAAAACCACCTTCAAGAAGGCCTATAAATACGAATAATTAAAAGGGAAAAAACAGAATGACAACAAAGACGAAAAATACAATTTTCATATATATTTTTTGATTTTATGCGAATATTAGTCATTTTGTAGCAAAAATTTCAGAGAGATAAGGGCAATTTGAAAGAAAAGAAGTTTCAGTTATGTAAATAATGTTCATTATTAAACTTGTAAATTATAAAAAAATAGTCCAGATAAAGTCCTCGAAAGCTTGCTCAAGGAACTCTGTGTGCTTTTCTTCCAATTTGGCCTTACCCTGATTTTTTTCTTTTTTTGTATTACAAAATCATAATATTGAAGGTTGATATAAATTATATAGATATATCAAGTTTTCTTCTTTCCTTATTATTTAGTTGTTTTTCATTTTTATTTTCAGGAAATGGTTGAGGACAACGATGAAGTTCATTATCCTCACCACTTCCAGAAAATATATCGATATTTTTTGTATGTGTTTATGTCATAAACCGAAGAAAGACCTATCAAATATTTTATTTATTTTTAATTAGCCACTTGTTCTGAAATCATCGTGTAGAAAATATTACTGTCATTAATGTACATTTAATTAGGACAATTAGTTATACCGAGAGAATTATTTTCGCTTGGCAATCCACAAGGCGTAAACCCAAATAATTCACACAGAAATGTTACAGAAAAAGCATACAGAGAAAAAAATAAAATCGGTGATGTTGAAATTTCAATTATTTTAGGTTTCACGATTTTAGTTTTTGGATTGGAGTTTTTCCAGGGAAAGATGTTATGGTAATAATTAAATAACTTACATTTGTTACAGCGGCTATTTAAATTTATATAAGCCACTTGATTATTTTTACATCTTTGGCTGGAAAAACTCCATAAAATGGTGAAACCCTAGGTAAAAATAAATTTGCGAATCGTCTTAAATTATCCAGCTCTTTTAACTACGCGCTGTTTACTTTAAGAAAGGTAGAAAGAAACATCAGATAAAATCTTATCGCAGTATTAAGAAAATAATAAAACTAACTGTATAAAACCAGGCAGGAAATGATCAATTCCACGACCTTTCTGTGGTTTCATAGTTTAAATTGGCTATGAATGACTCTTTTTTTTATAAACAAAACCGTCATTAATGACTAGCAGATCGAATCTGTCATATCTGGAAAATAGTATCTGGTACGTTTATTGTTCAACGGTGCGATAACGTCCTTTGAACTTGTTTACTTTCATCGTGTGCTAGGGCGATTTTAGAGCTAAAATCGATCCGGGGTTTACTTTCTTTAAAAGAAATATGTACAATAAGGTGAAATGGTCAGTCCTTACCTTTAACAAGAGGATCCTTTAAATGAGAAATTTCCCAGGGGTTTTATAGTTTTAAAAGGTTCCACTTTAAAGCATACAAGTGGATAAGGGCATTATCCGAATGGAAGAAAAGTCGTGAGGTCGTTTGTGTCCGACCTGGCCACGGAGTCGGATGGACGAAGGGCGCGCACTTGTGCGAAATTCGCCTTGTGCGAAATTCGCCTTGTGCGATGAGAACGAATGCGATCGGATGTCCGACAGACCGAGGAGCGACTCGACGAACGCAAACCAAACACTGGCAGCTGGGAAGACGGCCGACGGGTTACGCTAAGGGGTCGGCGCTAGTGACGCCTCCCCTCCAAACCGTAAGAAGTAGGAGTTGCCCACGGACAGGAAGTCTCTTTTTTCTCTTTTCCTTCCAAACATATTAATTTTAAGGTCAAGGACGTTTTCAATAACAAGTCGTGGACTTACGAAAATAAACATTAAAAAAAAATTCCTTCCTTGACGCAAATACATGAAGAGATAGGCAGCTGAAAAGGACAGAAAAACCAATATCCAACCACCTTGACCAATTTGGCATAAATTACCAAAACTTTTCTTTTGACCTTTTTTATTAAAACTAGCTAAACGAACCCGCGACTTCGCCAGACTATGATTTAATGTACCTTTCTAATGCCGTGTAGGCCTAGTATGGCTTTCTAATATTAACGTATCATTTCTCAAATTCTCTTCTTCAGTTCACTTCGGTCCATACATGGTAAAAAATTGTTAATCATAGGGATGGAATTTTCAAAAAATCCTTTTAGTGGCTATCCATGTCATTATAGGAATGTACTGTCGAAATTTCAGCCCTTTAGATCCAGTGGTTTGGTCTATGCATTGTCTGGCAGTCAGTCACGGAACTGTTTTTTATTTCAAAAAATCATTTCTTAGTGGCTACCATGTCATAGAAATGCACTGGCAAAAGTTCAACGCTTTATATCCAGTGGTTTGGTCTGTGCGTTTTCGTCAGTAACAGAACTGTTTTATATACACTGACAGGCAAAAACCACTTGTAATATAACTTGATTTGTATACATTAATTACATACAATTTGATTTAATTGTTTTATATTTTTCATGAACATTTCAATATCGCGTAATTTCTCCTCTTGCCTTAATTACATCTCAAAGAATTCGAATTCTGGAGGTTATCCCATTCTTCACAAATAGACCTTTCAAGAACAAGGAGTGTAGCAGGAAGTGCTCATATTCACTTTTGAGGTTATCCCATAAATGTTCGATGGGGTTCAAGTCTGAAGAACAAGCTGGTGAGACTAATTCCCTGATGTTATGCTAATGAAGGTACCTTGCGAGCAACATAAGGATGTGCATTATTATCCAAGATTGTCGCTGATTTCATCGAGGATAGGCAATGCATAATGTTCTAAAATTTCATCTGCATAACGAAGCCCGTCAAAGACCCTCCACGAACAACCAAGTCTGTGTGACTCTCCATTGAAATTCCCGCCTACACCATCACTGAGCTATGTTGAAAAGGTTCGCTCTGAGAAAAATTGTACCTTTCGTTTTGCCTTCTTGACACTCTTTCATGTCCATCTGGAGATTGCAGAGCAAATCTACACTCATCTGTAAAAAGTACAGATCAATCCTCTAAAGATATAGCTGTTCTCAAGCAAATGCGAACTGTGCAACACTGTGTGTTCTGGTCCTCTTACGGCATGATAATGTATCAGTCCGTACTGATTTAATCTTTTTCAAATGTTTGTTCAGAAATTTGGACACCTTGAACTTCCTGGAGCTGATGAATCACTTGAACAAGAGTAAGGTGCCGGTTTCACAAATTCTCAGTCAAACTATGGTACTGCTACTCTAGGTTGTCCAGAACTGGCCCTTCTATGGTAGGACCCCCTACCCAGTTTCTGGAAAATGTCTAACAGCGTCTTGCAGTTTTGTAGGAAACTCTGATGGCAATAGCCACATACCTGATGGAACGACCATCATCAGTAAGTGCCACACCACACACAAAATCCTCAGCACTAAGTGGCATTTTTAAGTTTAAAAAATTGAAATTAAGTAAACAAAGATGAAAACTAATTATTCAAATGAGAACAGAAACAAGAATTCAAATGAGACTGAATAAACATTTTAAATTCTGTAAAAAGTAATCATTGAAACATCTTTTATCCTTGTTTTGGCTTAAGGATTGTGTTTATGTCTGATTGATATTCCCAATTTAAAACAGCATAATCAAATATTTATTGGTAAAACATGAGACAAATCAAGAGCACAATTTTCTTTTAAGGAGAAAATGAAAAAAAAAATCAACCTGATGGAAATTCTTGCCTGTCAGTTTAAGGGATGGAATTTCAAAAAATCCTTTCTTAGCGTCTATCCGAGTCATTGTAGGAATGCACTGTTGAAATTTCAGCCCTTTAGAACTCTTCTTTCTATATTAATGATACATCTGCTTTTGATGACATCTAATTTCTACTTTATGCAGATAACCTAACATTTTTAGTATAGTTGACAATTTTGATGATGTCAATCTGGCTACAGTTAAACATCGATTAACTAGTTTCATGGTGCAATTCTCATTCCCTTAAATTGAATGTTATCAAACGTTATGTAATGAGTTATTTCAATGGCAATAAAAATGTTTTTTTTTCCCTCTACATGGAATGAGTAGCTTTAGTGACCTTGTAGTTTAATACCTCTTTCATTTGTAAATAATATTAGTCATTAATAAAAATATTAGGTTTTATTAAAGAGTTTGTCTCCAACTGTGAAATAGAATGCGTAATAAGATAAAAAATAAATTGTTAATAACAACCCACTGAACAAAAATAATGTTATATTAGTTATTCTATAGTTAAACAATAAAAACCTGCCAGGCAAGATCACAAAATTTGACTATTACATTGGTATAAAATGGTTAAATTAATTTTCCATGAGAAAAAAAAGGAACAAATAAAAATGAAATAATATATTTGATGTGTATTTAAAAGAACCTGTTTCTTACCTAGTATGATTGTCACAACATACTTTCTAAAAAAAGTAAATTCAAAACTGTGCAAGAGCATAAATTTCATAATTGTTTGCAACTAATATTTATTGTTTTAATGTTCTTAAGAATAAAGTCAATATTTACATTAAATTTCAAACTGCTAGTTTTAGAATAAAATACAGTCAAGAATGCGTCAATCTTTTTGTATATTTATAGGCATTTAGATCTTGAAAATTTTCAAAACTCTTAAGAATATTTATGTACATTTCATTTCGAACAGAAAATTGTAACTTGCAATATGACTATATTAATAGAGAATAAATACTGTATGGATTATTTTTTATAGATATCAGAAATGTTTCAAGTCATCCTATTTTCAACCCGTGGATGGCTAGGATTCTCTATGAATTTAAAACTGATTTAAGATACGTTAAACTTGGTCAGACATAACAAAATAATAAAATAAAAAATAAAGAACAAGGTAGAGGCAATAGAATCCCATATTTCATCTTACTATAATTGAAATAATTCACAAAAATTGAATCTTCAAAAAACTCTTTAACTCCTAAGTATTTTACTAATGGCGCAAAATTGTTATATACATCCAAAAATGTCACAATATGACTTTTTCCTCATCTTGCTCGACAGTTACATTTCAAATTTCTTCACATTTTGCAATTTAAAAATACGAGTTCAAATCAGGTACATGCTGCAATCAAAGGACTAAAATAAATAGCTGAAATAATTTTAATTAATGTTTTTAATATGGAAAAATTCTAAATGTAACTGCATATCACAGATTCAGAAAAGGGCATTACAACTATATTAAGAAAGTGTACCAACCTTTCGAAGTGAATAATTCGATTAGTATAAACAATTGCAATGTTTACTATATTACTAGACTTAAAAAAAAATTAAAAAAATGGTATTTATATACTTAAAGGGGTTAAATTGTAATTCTGAATAAACATTAAAAAATTGAGAACGATAAAAATAAATTATCAATTTTTAACAGAAAACTTTCCGCTAAAAAGGGACAATTTAAAGGAATTTCATATATCCATCAGATGTACACAACCTCCCCTTTCCCGGGGGTTAATAGTTTTCTTCTTCATCAAACGCCATATCATCTCTTTCTCTATCGCGGTCTCTACCGTTTTCCTCTAAATGTTCTGGTTTTTTATCTTCGAGATATTTCACCCTGTCATCCTCATCTTTTTCATACTTTACACTTTCATTAAATTCTTCTACATTTCTGTTATAATGGTTATCCGAATAGTCAGGATAATCTGAAAAGTCATAAGCACAACATTTTATTTAAGCACTGGGGTAAAAAGTATTAGTTTAAAAAAATTACCGTCGGGGGGTTCGATTTTAATCCGGACCTTTTCTTCATAATCATCACCTCCAGCATTTCTATCTCTTCTGTCTCTATCTTTGTCCCTGTTAAAAATAAAATTAAAGTATTTTATAACATATTAATAAAAAATCGAGAGCCAAAAGTAAGCAACCAACCTATCGCCCCTGTCTCTGTCTCTCCTGTCCCTTTTACGATCTCTGTCTTTAGAGCGACTCCTCCTCCTTTTTCTGTCTCTATCTCGTCGTTCCCGATCGCGATCTCTATCCCCTCTATCCCTATCCCTATCTCTGTCTCTTGGAGGACGTTCGTCAATTTCCTCAATGTCACCGTCTGGAACTCTGTCCCTGCTCCTTCTCCTTTTTCGATCCCTCGAGCGACTGATGTAACAGAGTAAGGTTAATCAGAATTTAAAAATTTCCAACGTTCATGGATGATATTTACCTTCTGGACCGTCGTTTCTTTTCTCTATCCCTGTCCCGGTCCCTATCTCTGTCTCTATCTCCCCTGTCTCTATCTCTACTTCTGGATCTACGCCTAGGTTCACCCCTATCCCTTTCTCTGTCCCCTCTCCCTGACGGCCTATCCCTTTCTGCAGCTTCTCTTTCCAACCTGTACCTCTCTCTTTCTCGTTCGTTGTCTTCTCTACCAGAATGTTTCAAGTTGACTTCAGGCCCTCCTCTTCGCGTGCCGCCAAGTCCTCCTCCTGTAAATTAAATTAATTTGTGCCCTCGACAAAATTGTAAAAAGTGTAATTTATATGTTAAGGCTGACTCATTTTAGTCTTAACCTGGGTGTATGAAATTAATAAGAAAAGGAAAAATAAGGGAATACCACTGCTTAATTATTTAATTACCTAAATATTTCAGTTTGATCACTAATTTTAAACTAGAACAAACTCGATCTGGGATATCTGTGATTTTGTATAACAACATCGCGTGTACGCTAAATCTGGTTTAAATAATAATTCAAGATATTTACCCAATCTCCTCGGCAGCCACCCTTTAACTGTTCTTCCTCTTTCAACATCGACAAGCACTCTCCTTCCGTCAATTTTTTTTCCATCTGCATGTTTATACGCGGCTGTAAAATAACATTATTTTTATTTACAAATAATAAATAATTTTTCATAAATAATATTCAAGCCCTAAGATTTCCGGGCATACTTACCTGTTAGGGGACAAAAAAAATAAACGGAATGTTAACAATGTTTGCATTGGGTTCGTTTAAATAAATTTTTTTTGTGACAAAGATTGGCAATTTAATATAATAGTCACTTATTGAAAAAAATATATTTAAATCGTACAACCAAAAGTGTATGTCATGGTTTGCCCAACCCAATGATGTTTTTGTTCTTACGGTCACGTTTTTTTCAAACTGCCAACATTCTGTTAGTCTAATTAACGACTTTTTTTTATGAAAACGATGATAAAAATACATTTAAAGTAGGTAAGGTAAATGCATGTACCTACCGATAAGGGGGAATGACTGACAACCTCGGTTTGAATCTGAGAAACCAGGAGAATAACACATCCTTCTTTCCACTCCTTGATTTTTAGAACCATATTTTTTACCTGGTGCGCATAATTTACTTACGACTTTCGCGCATTTTTTTTTTTTTAAATCAATTTACTGAACTTTTATTTTTGAAAATAAATTCCAACTTGAAATAAACTTCCCAGAAGGTAAATTTAATAACATCTTTATTAAATTAAAAAAAGGTACCTTTGATTTGACTGTGTTTCAATTCATTAACACAAAATCATCCTTTAAGCTTCGCCATTATCATGCATCATAAATTATTAGTTTGGTTGATGACAACTAAAGCATATCTTACATATTTTAGTCGTTTTGCGAGCAGTGTGCAACCAATAACAACTAATATGCATTTAAACAAGTTTATATAGTAATTTCATTTTCACAAATTTCCGGAACTCTGACATAAAATATGCCAGAGAAATTCAGACATTTTTAAAACTTCAGCCCGATTTTCCAACTGTTTTCTTAAAATTGTCGCCTTATCCATACAAATTGTATTAATAATATTAACGCTTTCCTTGTAATGTTCCCTTGTCAAACAATTCCACATTAACCATATTATGTGTGCATAAAATAATAAAAAACCTACCCAAAATAATTAAAATTAAGTTATAAAATAAAGTCCTTAACGTTTATCAATAATTCAATTTTATTCCTTTTGTGTTTTGAAACATTGTTTATCCAGTAATTATTGTTTACACACTCTAAAAAGAATTGTTGTTTTTTGAATCTCGAATTTTTACAGGAAGTTTTGCTCATTTAAAATAGAGGAAAAACTAGTGCATTTTTGCCACTCAATGGCTTGTATATCAACAATGCCCAGTTATCTAGGAAAATTTCTGATGTGTAGGCGTTGACGATACGAGGAAGTAATGTTCATAAATGGTTCATTTGGTTCAGAAGCAGGCATTTTAATTTGGAAGGTACAAAACGCTCTGGTCGTTCTTTAACCAAACGAGACAATTGGACCAAATGTAAATTTATAAATGGTGTCCAAAAGTGGGTCCTAAACAACAATATTCAGAGAGGAAACTCCTGAAGAAATCGCGGCAAATTAACAACTCCAAAAGCCAGATTACCCGTGAATGTTGTGCATTTGGCAAGATTAGAAGGGGTGTTTTGTTAAGATCTTCCCCAGCCAAACTGTTATTTCTAGCGTATACTGCACATCAATCTGACCCGATGTCAGAAGATAAAAAAACAAGTGTTTTGAAAAGAAATCTTAATTCAAAAGACAGAGGGGTAGTTTATATCATAAAACTGTACTTTAAGATTGTGCTATTCAAATTTCGCTTGATTATTTGGGATAAAAAAGTGTTTCCTTCATAGTAAAATATATGTAATATTTTTGTTTTACTTCAGCTTTCACCAACCAAACTGATGTTTTATGATGAAAAGACTCATGGCACATGAAACAAATCCAAAGAAAGTGTGATAAAAAAAAACTATCCACAGGATGAGGACATTGTTTTAGATTAATGACTTCCAAACAATCATAATAAAATTTTACTTCTTTCGTATCCACCATTTAAACTTAAAACCGATATTCATTTACATACATTACTGATTGAATAAATCAAGGGGTTTTCTCTAAATTTACTTTTTCTTTTCTTTTCATTTAATCAAAAAAATGAATTTTTGTGTTAATATTAAGCTATCAAATTTACCCAAAAATTGTTGTATGTTGGGTCTTACCAGACATACAAACCTATCAAAGCGTGATCATATCACAGAGTTCGAGAAGGCATTTTAGTTGCCAACTGCTCGCCAAACTGGACCCAGAACAAGAAAATTATGTTAGGCGAAATATTTACTTTAATTAATTTAAATAATAGAAGATTTTAAACTTTAAAGAATAACCGGTGTTACCTGATGGTGTCTCAACCAATTCCCAAATTTATTCACCACAATTACATCAATATCAATATTAAATTTCTGCATAAAACATGGGTGTAATGATATTTGGATAAGTGCAAGTTATTTTAAATAAAAAGGATGTTTCAAATAATAATGACATACTTCAAATATAAACAGTACTTAATGTTTACTTACAATGCATATCCCTTTCATGTTCATATTCTATAAATGCATATCCTCGAGGTTTACCATTCTCGGTGTTATGAATAAGAACTATCTATAAACAAAATGGACAAACTTTCAATATTTAATTTAATCATTTATATTAAATAAATATACCTTCTTTATCGGTCCGTACATTTCAAATTCTCTCCTGAGCTTGGATTCGGATGTGTCATAGTTCTAATAAAAATTATTATTATTAATATTCTTGATTCATGAGATCAAATTACAATTTATAGAATGGTACAACTTACAATTCGAGCTACAAACAGAGTCTTAAATGGGTCCACTGTAGCTGTTGAAATACTGTGAGGATCCCCTGAGAAAAGAATAAGGATTTGTTAAACAAAAATATGCATGGAAGAAGTAATTAGAAAACTAGGTTAAAACTTACAAACAGCTATTTCTTGTTCAAGTTTGTAAGCAACTTGTTCAGCCCTTTCTCGACGTCTCCTCTCCAATCTTTCCTCCCTGGTTTCAACTTTCTTAGGCGGTGGTGTTTCTGTTGGATCCTAAAATAAGTTCAAACTATCAGTTTTACATGTCACAATTTTTCTCAATAGTCTTCAACCCCTTTTGACTTAGGCATTAGTGAAGTACTTTAGTTCAAAGCAGAGCGTACACATAGTAATGCGAGATTCGAGATTCCCCCCACTATGCACATTTTACCGCATGAGTCAAGATACAAAGTAACTAATCGGCCTATTGAGATCAACACGAGTTTTACCAGAGATTTTTTTTTTCTCGATCATCATTAGGGAAATAATCCTTGTTGACACCGATCTCCTAATCGAAAAAAACTCTCTATTGTGGAACGTGTAGTGTAGCGATTATTATATTTATTATAGCTCCTTCATATGTCACAACCGTCAGAAATATCTATATCACATCACATCTTTCTTCATATTCCAATGATTTAGAGGTGGTTTTACCATCGAGCAGTTCAGCATTGCATCAAGATACGGAAGTTCTAGAGCTTTTCTAAATTTCCTTAATGTCTAGAGCTTTTAACTTGTTCTCCAATGTCTTTTTGATCCAAAATGTCCAAAGCTTATGAACTCTTGTTCTGCAATGTCAACATAATGGATGTTTTAACTCTGACAGCATGGAATACCTCAAAGACTGAGGTCTTGACGAAATATCACCCTTAATCAAGTGCAAAAAATCATCAAGAGATAATTGACATTCTAAAACAATTGAAAAATTTTGGTTAGAGTGAAACGAACATAGTATTAGTGAATCTTCCTAGTTTATAGCGGCGATACAGACGAACGACTTCTTTGACTTCCATCATAGAACTGCTCTTGCCCAAGCCTGTTTACACGTGATCACAGGATTCAACACACCTTGTGTACTAAGCCTTACTCTTCATACATATTTAAAAGTATCATAAAATATTTCCAATTTCTTTCTCACATTAGAAAAATTTATCTCGGCATATTGATATCAGCCTCTAATATTACAATTTTGTATTAATAAGAGTGGCAATGAAAAAATGTTTCCAACTGCATTAATAGTTACATATATAACTATTAATATGTTTGGCCTTATGAACTTTGCACATTAGCCAAGGAGCATGATATATATACATAATGCGTTTTTTTTGTTTTTGTTTCTGGGCTCATAGAATTTTAATTGAAATTAATTTTGAAAAAGTATCATAATGTGATTGGATCTCTCGTCCATGATACCCTGTAACCTGTTGTGCAGGCTTTCTTGTATGACAAAAATTAATTTACTTTTCTTTTGCTATGCATTTCCTAGTAATTATTCAACAACATACAATAGTACTTTGATCAATGAAATTGACTCATCCGATTGCATGAAGCACTTAATGATTTGCGGTACGCAGTAGAGGATTAGATTTTTGAGAAAAAGTGCCTGTTTCTCAATTTTACAACAACGGATAAACCCACTTTAATCTTTACTGGATTTCCTTCTTTTTTTGCTTCTCTTTTTGCAGAAGAGCAAGCACAAGAAGTGCTCCTGCTTCCTCTCTTACATCGTACGGACCTCTCGGGAAGAGAGGCTGAGTTCACAAGTTGCCTGATGTGAAACCAGCAAAAAAAAAGCCTTTACACAGTAGTAAATTAGTTGTTAGTCAACCGGGCAACTTAGTTCAATCAAGCAAACCGCCTCATCTGAGAGGCCAAAAACTCATAATAAAAAATAATAAAATTCAACTCAACTTCGTTTGTTTTTCTTTTTTACATAAAGAATCGCCACGATAGCATACACCGATGCAGTAGTTTGTATAGTTATAAACGCATACTCTCAGGCAAATGATGTCTTTACGTTGTTTCGCCTCATGAAAATGGTTAACCCAAGATAGCGTTTCGTGACTTTTTTTCGTGCAGTGGAAACCCAGCTTAAGTACCAAATCTCACACAAAATCGAGCACTAAGCCAAAACGTGAAAAAGACCACAGAATTGCCTAGGGAGAAATACCAAAGCCACTCATATTCCACACAGCTGAATTTATATGTAAAAACCTCACATCCCAGTTTTATGGATATGGATGAACATTATTGATGGCACTTCAGGTACTCAATGAGACCGGCAAAGAAAAAAAACTTATTTTTCACATGCGTAGTAAATAAGTAAATAGGTTATTTTTTTGCCTCTTGTAAAAGTTTTAAAGGTAATAATAGCATCTAATGTTGTGAAGGATTTAAATAATCTGGTTTAATCGATTATTTGCAACAACGAAAATCTAGAGAAAGTACACAAAACCCTGAAGCTATGAAGAGCTTGTTTTTTTAAGTCAATTTTCAAAAATGAATATTGAACAAAACAATAACGAAATACATGCATGAATAAGGTAAAATTAAATAAATAAAAACCTCAAAGAATTCGAGGAAGGTGCCCACGCCGAGGTATCCCCTGTTTTTCTTTTCGTGCGGTAGCTTGGCCGCCGGTGGCAGGAACGGGATCGGCTCCCTCGGGGCGAAAAGCGCCAAAAGGTTCGGTGGTAAAAACTGTGTCATTTTCTCTCATGAAACGAGCCTGGCTCCGGCCTTTTTTTTCTTCGCGAAGAGTCAAAGCCGGTTAAAAAGCGAAAAAACTCGCCGAAAGCGGCACAAACTGGAGGAAAAAACACGCCGAGCCGAGTCCGTCGATTACAACCGTCGGGTAGCAGTACGGCCCTGGCAGTCGGCCATATTGACAAATCAGAACGAAGTAAAACTAATCAAGCTAGCCAACTTACGCATCATAATTTCGCAACAATTTAAACGATTAAACACGACAATACTTTAAATAATGATTTATTTTTAATTGAAATATAATAAATAGTGACATATACATTTAGAATTTGTATACAATTATATTAAAAAAGCAATGTCACTGAAAATGCAAAATCGAGGAGGGGTACCCCTTACAGGGTTGTATTGTAAACGCCGTTTACCGCAACACATCTCAGTATTGCGGGTTTAGTATTATTTTACTTTTTGATTTGTTCTTCTATTTATTAAAATATTGGACATTTGTAAATTTAGAGTAAAAAAAATAATAATGTGCGTTATTATGTAAGCTCAACAGTTACAAAAAAAACATAATCATAAAACCTAACGTTGGTTTTATCTCTACAAAATTGATTAAAGGCAGCCTATGGTAGAGTACGTTCGATGTCTTCCGGGAACATAAAACCTATCTCTACATATTATTAAAACTATATCTACGATGGTAAAAAAGATTAACACATTGCATACTTTATACTTGACATATTTTTTGTAAACACAAAAATGAGGCGAATCCTACGAAAATAACGCTGAATTGGTTAAAATTTTAAATATTGTAGACTATAACAATCATATAAACTGACAGGCAAAAAATTCCACCCACTTGTAATATAACTTGATTTGTATATATTTTTGTACCTTTTCTAACGTTTAATAATTGAGTCTTTGTGTAAAAAAGTTTTAAAAAAATGTAAATTGTTAAGGAAAACGAAAAATTAAAGAAGGAGAAATAAAATTTGTTTTAGATTTTTAATTAAAATTTCAATATCGTCCTCATGCCTTAATGAACTCGTAGACACCTCGGCATACTTTATACCATCTGGAAATGTCTCTTTGCTGGAGGCTAGTCCATTCTTCACGAAGAGTGCTTTCAAGATGGTGGATTGTATCTGGAAGCGATGGACGTGATCATACTCGTGTTTCGAGGTTATCCCATAAAAGTTAGATGGGGTTCAAGTCCAGAGAACGGGCTGGCAAGGCTAAGACCCTGATGTTATGCTGTTGAAATTACGTTTATACCAGGAGAGCGACATGTGGACGGGCATTATCGTGCATTAGAATAGGGTTGTCGCTGATTTCATCGAGGATAGACAACGCATATTGTTCCAAAATTTCATTCACATAGCGAATGGCCGTCAAAGACCCTCTACGAACAACCAATTGGGGGCGTCGGTGGCCGCAACGGTTTAGGCGTTGACACGGCGCTCATCACTGTAAGGTAAAGGTCTCGGGTTCGAATCCAGCGGCCTTGCAATCGAACCCGACATACTTACAAATGGGCTTTTTTCAAAAACACCAGCACCCCGAGGGTTAATATGACCTATGCTGTTGCGAACCCTCGTTAAAAAAAAAAAAAAAAAAATCATAAGTGTATATTTAGGCTGTGGATATTTAACATTAGCAGGATTCCTTAATTTGTAATTTATGTTTTTGAATTTATCAATATAATTGCCTCTATTGAATAATTCACGAAGCCTCCTGAAAAATAAAAATGTATAATGGAAAAAGTTTATGGTAAAAAAAATAAAGGCAGGAAGGGTTCCTCTTTACGACAGTGAAACATGGTTTTCAATTTTTTTTTTAAATTAGTTAGTTATATTTTTATATGCGTCTCCCCAGCATATACCATAATGAATATGCAATTTAGTACGGCTAAATATAGAATTTAATTAAAATTGCTTTATCGCGTTTGTTTCGCAGAAATCTCTCTTAGACTATGTTAAAAAAAAAAAAAAAAAAAAAAAACTACGACTTTGTCCGACTCTCCATTGAAATTCCCGCTCACACCATCACTGTGGTACGTTGAAAAGGTTGGCTCTGGGAAAAATTACAGGCTTCGTACCTTTCATTTCGCCTTCTTCACACTCTTTCACGCCCAGCTGGAGATCGTAGAGCAAATTTACACTCATCGATAAAAAAAAGTACAGCAGACCGTCGTCTAAAGACCAATGGTTGTGTTCTTGAGCAAATGCGAGTCGTGCAACTCTGTGTCTTCTGGTCAATTCAGGTCCTCTTACGGAGCAAAAAGCTCACTTCTCTTTGGCCGGTTCTTTTTACATCCGGGATTGGCGGGCATTCCTCCTACCTCAGGTAGCGGTGAGCTCAGCTCATTTTGCCATCGCCCATTCGAAGAGGCTGATCTTTATTGTTTGTACTTTATTGTTTTGAGAATCTGATGTCCATCAATCGAACTGGCAGTTGGCCATATATAGCTAAATCAGGCGCTTGACGTGGATGGGGATAGTTTCGATAACGAGGTGAGGTTGTGATCCAGTTTAGGTCGAGATAAATTGACAATTCACGTTGACGTATTATTTACATTGTTTGGCCGATTTATGATGTCTTGTACCATACTTCCTGTATATCTGCAAAGTAAGTGGTAGGTTAGATTAGCTATGTACTTAGTGTATTGAGTGATAGACCTAGAGGACTTAATCGCCATGCAGGTGTAGTTAACAATGGTGTTTGTTTAGTTTATAATTTGTACGTTCGGGGCTGAAATGACCTGCTTATCGATAGCCCCGGAGCTTTAATACAAATAGACAGGGCCCATGTCGGATTCTCATCCCTGGATTAGGTGATACTCACCGTTCGTCAAAACATGTCTAATTCAAATTCTGATTACCCTAATTATTTTAGCCACTGATGATCCTTTTTATCTTTAAACTAGTCAATCTTGTTCTGATATGATTTATTTAACATGTATATAAAGCATAGTATTTTATGCTTTTTGTTTTATGATTTTAATAAAAATATTTACAAAAGATCAGATGAAACTGACTCGAATGGATTTGCATTGATAAATTGAACGAGTTTACGAGTCGATCAATCTCGTGTCGTATTCAGAAGCGGTATTGCACTTCCATAAAGATCTCTGAATATATTTCAGTTTCACAATTGACGTCGGATCACCTTGGGCTATCATGTCCGCGTTGGCCCAGATATGTCAAGCGTACGTACCCGCGAAATTCCCCGTACGCCCACTGTCACTGAGCGGACCGCGTAATAAATAGTTGCTACTTTTTAACAACAATTATCTCCCTGGTCCTTGGTTTCTGATCGAAATGGCCCGGGAGTCACGAGTTCCAATTCCGAGGACTGGGGAAAACGGGGAGTAATTACAGGCTTCGAGAGATTCACCTGTTTAAAACCACGGACGCATTTTCGCATTACTTCTTTGCCCGCTTTTATCATAGAATCATGTTTCATACCGATTTGTTATTATTCTTCATATTTGTTAGAAAGTTTCTGTTAAATTGCCCAAACATTTACTAAAGTATCCTTAAATTTAAAGTTACAGTTTATGTTATTAAGAATTTCCGTCAATTCTGTTTTATTTTAGTAGGATTCTCCTCAGTTTTATGTTTATAAAAATAAAGCTAATTAAAAGTTAAAAAAGAGACGTCCTATCTATGACCATTGGCCTACTGTGCAATTTCCATTATTGTCTAAAGCTGTTCGTTCAGCTTAAGGTTTTTTACCAGGTCCCAAAACTCACGATTGCATCTTTTAGGCCTTGGCTTTTGATAGGCACCAGAGGACATCGAGGTCTCACCGAAGATTGGGAAAAGCCGAAACGCGTATGAGTAACTTAAGAACACAATAAGCGACCCAGTGCCGAATCAACAACCCTTTTGTCTGTTGCTTCGAGTCTGCACATATGTCCCCAGATTCTGCCGTATCCACTCGGCAGTCCTACTCTCATTCCAGTAGTCCCTAACACTTAGATTTAGTAGTCGTGCCGATATTTTCAGCGATTTAATGACTTATACGCATCTCTCTCCTGGGATACAATCCGCTTGAACCGAGTACTTCTTTTTAACCCATTCTCTGGTGTATTTATATTTTTGGCATTTTGGTATAGGCTTCAGGGCCGATATGTGTCCTACTCGAATTTTCCTTGGACAATTTATAGTCCTCCCCTGTTTAACCTAGTGTCTAAAAGAATGGTGATTTCGTTGTTTTCTTCAATATCTGACATGACCTTAATGCAACCCCAAACGACTTTATGACTAATCTCCTTGGCACAGTGTGCAATAGCCACCATCTTTTCTTGAAAGACAATGGCATGTTCCAGTTACTGACCAATTGTCGGTGTTAGGGTCATCTGTATGCTCTAAGTATATTCCTCCCGAAACCTGAATTGCTCGTTTTTATGATGATTAGCTATTGGAGCCTGTCACCACATTAGTGAATTGGGCTCAAACCTCTCACTGGATGAAAATATGTACTGGTTTATTCTGGAGGGCTTCAGGACTAAATTCAACCTTGCTAATGGGCTTAGGTACATTCTTGCGGGGGCTCGTGGCTTTAAATAAAAAACATGCAAGTGCAGGAGTTCCTTTGCAGCATGGCCTTTAGGTGGATCCTTACAGCTCGTGAAACAGCGATTTTGTTCATATTGCCTAAAATTGAGAGTCTCTATTATGTTGGGCCGATTCAATTGCATTATTAACAGTACTTATGTTATGAAAGTTATGTCCTATGTGTGATGTTTAGAGACCGTTAGTTAATGATTATTTGTATATCATGAGATGCATTCTGGTGTGATGCAGGTTTTAGAAAAACATTTTCTTTATCGTGCCAACGTTTCGATCTTTATTGAGATCATCTTCAGGGCCTGGGATTTATTAATCAAATTCAATATCGATAACATACATATATCATCATCACATCACACAAAAGATATATGTAACATATAAAACTATCATTACATTCCACACATCAAACATTTCTACATAGTCTAATTCTTCAAGAATTTGGCTTTCCCTCCCTTAATTATCCCCGTCTATAATCCTGAAAGGATAATCAAGCCGAAACATTGTCTCAGAAATTACTCATTTTTCCCATTGTCGGCTCCTTTCACCTCAAAGAAGCCGACTTCCCATATAAAAAAAAAAGTCTTTCTATCCCGACTTCCTTCCCCACCC